ATATGATAATTAGGACGCTTTTGATTACGTCAGAAACGTTTTAAGAAGCCAGAAAGTATAAGGCAAAAACTAATCCAAATTAGGGTTAGGGTTAGGTTGGGGTAACCCTAACCCTAACAAAGCAAGAACATTTAAATAGATCAAGGGAGCTGACGTTTGAGCCCTTCTAGCCTTTCCACAGAAGGACATCAAAGACTGATTGCCATCATGTAAAAACGACATATATTATCTCAAGCGAATACAATTTCGAAAAAAATCATGACGTTTATATTAGTGAATATCATTACTCAAGCTGTTGTGTTAACCCTATTCAGACTGGGGGAGAGCTCGCTAAAAAAATGAGTAACTTCAAAACCGTTTAAGCTACGTGTAGGACCACCAAATCTTGGTGATTTCTCCTTTAAATTATCTGGGAATATTTTAAAGTCGTCGTGACGTGTTCATCAATATTTACGTTACGATGGCAGCAAGTTTTGACAGCCTTTTTTTGCAATTTGCTTTTTTCCTGTAGAAAAGGATTTATTTCCATTTTTACTTATTGAATACATAGTATTACAGTTAATTTAGTAATATCTTATCAAATATATCATAACTATTAAATGTAATACACGACGAAGTCGCGAGAGGTCGATTTGTCTCCCGTGAATGAAATTAAAAGGTTTTTATTTGCGTTTCGCACCAAAAATAGGGAGTGGCGTGACTCGTATCCGGGGTTGCTGGTTACATTTTGGAGTCCTTGACTTCCACTCTGACAAAAATAATCCAGGCAACGTGTGTTTGTTTCTCCGACATCGAATGGGCAAATTTGTTAACTTTGTGCGTAAGTTGTCACAAGCGAAGACTACCTCCGGCGGGCGGAAAAAAAAAACAAAGCTTGTTTTCATCTCAAGTCGATACTTGGAAAGGAGATATTCTTTGACGGTTTCGCGCCGTAAATGTGTCGACAAGAATGATACCCTTGTTCGGAAGCTTCATGAAGTGAGAGAAAACTTCGAATCGTCGAGGAAGGCCATTGCAGAGGAGAAAGGAGGGATGAACCTCAATAAGATGGCAAGCGCGCGCTTCAGATAGTGATATCGGCGAGTAGAAGAATCACATTGCAATCCTCCCCCCATATAGTCAAAATGAACGATTGAAAGCGTATGGAGCCAGCTCAACAGTTAGACTTTACCCAGCTTCGGTTGGAGCAGAGACAAAAACATCTCTACCCGACAGGTATGCTCGTCCCGATCAACAGAAAGCGAAGCAAAACCCCTGTCTGAATAGGGTTCAAAAAGGTGCTTAATGAACCGTGAGGTTTGCAAACTAACTTATAATGAGTATATAACGATTTTGGTGTAGCACATTTACGGAGTGGTTCGAATTCGTTTACCATTCCGGATCCGGATAGAATTAAGGATTTAGAAATGATGGTTTTTGAGCAAAGGGGAAAGCGGGATTATCCGGAGAAAAACCTTTTGGAGCAAGGGTGAGAACCAAAACCAAACTGAATTTACGTATGTCGTCGCCCCTGGAATTCGACACAGGACCATAATGATGGGAGACAAATGCTCCTACCAAAGCCCCATCTCACTAATACCGAACTATCTCTCTGAACTTAAAGTGTATGCCTTTGTTTTTCTATGAGCAGATAAGAAATGGTTGCAACTTGAAAGAGTTTGGTCCGACTTTTTCCTATTGCAATTTTTGTGTTGTCAAAAGTTTACATAAACTGATTATATTCATGTTGTTTTCCTTTCCTTTACGAGAGTCGCTTCATCTATTGATAAGAGGTCTTTAAGTAAAAGAAATTGAGCTATAAGGGATAAAAAGTGGGTTCAATTTCATTTTAGGTATGGACCAGATTAAAACGTAAAACTCACTTTGATATAGACTGTGGGCACTCAGTTTGTGATATATAATTGATATTATTTATTATATAGGAAGTTGCGGAAACAAGCAACCTGCTGGGGACAAATGCTAAGCCTTGCACTGTTGACATGATGCAAAAAGAGGAAGCTGATTTTAAAAGTGAGGATGATTGCAAAATACCCTTGATCGTATTTTCGCCACCAAATCACGCCGAGGTAAATAAAATTGTTGAAGTTAAGGACAAAACAGAAGTTGCTTCCCTATTTCTCGAAGAGTCCGTAAAATGTTCAACTCACTTACAAAATTAGCTTTGAATTAATGATTTTGATTAATCAGTGCAACATACAAAATTATCATAGTGCTAAGAAACCAGAACTGGGGAGTGTTTGGTAGCTACTCGTGATGAAATCTGGAAGATATATGTTAAGGGTAGTGTTTCGCTTACAAATATCCTCACTAAATTAATCTTCCCTTTATCATCTTATCACCAGCCGAAGATCAAGAGCAAATAGCACTTGAATACACCATACCGGATCGGTCCACATGAAGTGGCTATTCATTTTATTATTCATTTTAATAATTTCGTTGTGAAGAATAATAAGGGAGAAGGAAGAGAAAGAGCTAATAGGAAGGCGGGGAGGGGGGGGGG